TAATTGATTAACCAACTTGCTCGAGTAATCGAATAATCGCCCAGCCCTAATAAAAACCAATTTGGTTTATCTCCCAGTTATTTCGCTTTTGTTATTGTAGTTGAAGAACTATTCGGCTTTCTTAGTAAGGAGGGTCACGATGTTCAGGGCTACGCGAACGAAATTGTCATCTTAATCAGAGGTAGGTTTGAGGACACAATATCTAACCTCATACAGAGAGAAGCAGGTTAAATGTAAATCTCAAGAAGACAAACATGATCGTTTTCAAATTTCTAGAGCCACTCTCTCAAGGAGAAAATATAAACTTCCTTAAAAAGCCCAAATATCTGTAAGTTATCCTTGATGACAAGCTCTCATGGAATCCACACCTAGGAAAAGCTATTCTATGTGGGCCTGCAGGAAGCTAGTATCACTGGCGCGATGGCCTGCCTTCTCTACGCCTTGTAATAAAGAAAAATGTTGTCCGATGGCAGCGTGATTTTCTTTAATGCCGGCATGTGTCATCCATTTGAATAATGGAACTGGAACTGAATCTGCACTAAAGACACCATATATCACAAATAGCCGTGAGGGTCCAAAAAAAAAATCCGATTATTGACCAAGCAGCCAAGAGACAAAATGCAGAACAGAGAACTTCCAGGGCTGTGTGAAGCTTTAACTGCATTATAGCCACTTTATCAAACTAAGAGAGAATTTTTTTATTGCCCTCCTTAACTCACAAATCGCATATCATCTTACCTTTTCTGCAGAAAGCTATAGATTTCACTAAGCGTCAGCTTTCCCGTTGGTGATTCTTTGATCGCCATCGCGATCATATTAATATAACTCAATGCAGGTTTCTCAGGGCGCCTTGTGCCTGATTTTTTCGTCGTATCTGGCGGCGTTAGCTCCTGCGTTGATGATGAAGTTGACTGCTGTTGTTGTTGCTGATGCTGTTGACCACCACCACCACCACCACCACCACCAGGCGTCGTTGTACCACCACCTTCACTTTGGTGGCTATGCACCGACTTCGCCGGCGAGGAACTATTCGAATAGGACATCGTTTCGGTTGTGGCACATAATTGCCCAGAAACGCTATGCGAACTGGTTATAACACCCGACGCGCTGGACACTGATGGCATACCACCGACATTTTGTATGCGTTGCAAGGACTGCGACAAATGATCAGAAGAGCTTGCTTCCGCAGAGACAGGCATCGCAGATGGCGCAGCAGTATGTTCATGCTCGTGCTGCGCCAGGTACTCGGAGGTATTGAAAATTGCATTACTAGTACAATATTTTATGGTGGATGTATAATGTGGATTCAACTGCTGTCCCAGATCCGACATTTTCGCGGAAATGATGCGATTTTGTGTAGCCGCATAATGTTGTTGCAGCTCACCTTCCGACGGCGATTTGACGACGACACCTTCATTGTGGGGCGACGAATTGGGCGAAATCGGCATTAGCATGCCAATGTCGTTTTCGTTTGTTGTATGCGGCGAGGAGGCACATATGGTGTGCATTGACGTCAGTCCATATGTGGCGGCGGCCTCCGAGACATGCACGGGCGGTTGAGCCATCATGGTGGCGTAATATTTGCGATCGAGATAGTTGAGGTCGGGCTTCTCGTCCTGCAATTCGGGTGACTCCTGCGGCGGCATGCGCATCATGGACGTTTGATCGCCGTATGTTAAGGGGGCGAAATTCGATGCTGACAAGATATTCGACGGCAGATTGCGATAAATGCTGCTGTGATGAGGTAAATGTGCGGCGGAGTGGTGGTGGTGGTGCAAGCCATTGTGCGTGCCGGAATGACCGTTTGAATCCATGACATCCTCGCTTTTAATCATTATGCAATTATTTACTTTCACTGGAGCACTTTTATGCAAACAATAATTTTGCTGGGACTAATTTTTTTATAATTTATTTTTTGCTTTCAACTCAACACTTTTGCGATGTTTTTGTATGTGTCCATGGATAGATCCGCTATATTCATCTTATTTTTTTTTTTTTTTATCTTACACTTTTTTATTTTGAATTATTTTTTTTTTCACTTTATGCTCATATATATGTAGTATAATATCGTCCAGCTTTTACGCGATTTTGTACTTTTCTCTTTCGCTATTCTCGATCAACTGAATCTATCTTTACCGAAAAATCTTTGCACTAGTTACGCTCCAATTACGCCAGCCGCATCAGCGATCGATTGCTGAGTGCCACCACACATCCTTTCCTCAGTCGGCGTAGAATGTGCGACTGAGTTTTGCATACGAAATCACGCCGGCTCTGCTGTCGAGGTGCTGGATATCGGCAGCAGCAGCAGCAGCAAAAACGGCGGCGACGTTGGCGGTGGCGACGTTTCTCCCACATTGAAGTCTTTTGTTTACATTTGGCTGGCAAACAAGAGCATAAAAACTACAATACGAACGGGCTAATTCTACAATACTAATTACACACATACAGACGAGTATATTTGTATGTGCAGAACATTACGCTCAAGTGGCGATCGCTTCGATAATTTGTTTTTGCTTTTCTTCTTTGTGCTCGTAAAGGGCCAACACATGTTCACCCTTCTGTGAGTTTTACGCGCCAAAGGAAAATTTCGTACGAAAAAATTTGTCTAAAAAAAAAATCTAACCAACCTGAACCATCAGCGCTGATCAATGAATGCTATAAATACTGGATTGTACGTAAGTATGTACATTAGTATTATTATATTGTATGCTCCTAAGCAACTACATACCTATCCAGAGTCGACTCGGATATCCCCAATGAGTGTCTGGCATATGGAGACTCCCCCCATGACACCAACCACCTCGTCACATGAAAGCTCAATAACTTCTATTCAGCTTACATCGCCTCCCTCTGGTCCAACCTAATTCAAATGGCTCGTTTCCAGTGCGTACTGTTAGTTGAACTTGAATAGAAAACGTTGAAGATGATACACGCGCGGTTTGAAGAAGCTTGCGGTCCTCAGCAAATTCAAAATCCGTTGAAGCAAATGGAAGTGCAAGAACTTTTTCGATATCAAAGAAAAAGGGCCGAGATATAAGAAGAACGACTAAAAATATTTAAGACGAAACTAGGTTGCTGGCGGGCCATTGGGCAGATCGTTGGGACAATCGTTGGTTGAGTATAACCTAACCTTTTACCGTGTGTGCNGCTGGCGGGCCATTGGGCAGATCGTTGGGACAATCGTTGGTTGAGTATAACCTAACCTTTTACCGTGTGTGCCCATCAGGCAGTGTCCGGTGATTACCCCGACTACTAATCTAAGAGGGGAGCCATCCAACCGAGTAAGAGATATGGATCGCTTTACATCAATCTTTACCCAAATTTGTCTGGTAGTATGGCAGTTGGTTTCCACAGCCCACCTGGTGTTTACCTCCTCGATAAGTTCAATCTTTAGTCTGTGTTTGCAGGAGGTTTGAGGTATGCCCGCATGCTGAGATAATTCCGTCCCCCTCCTTGCCAGCTCATCGGCTAGGCAGTTACCAGGAATGTCCCTATTTCCAGGGACGGACCCATGCAACAGTCAAGGAGCATTTTGATGCCAGCAGGTTGAGAGTCTTCCTGTATTCTATGGCTACTTTGGACATTGTTCCGTTAGATTTAATAGCAGCCTGGAGGGGCGGAGGTTATGGGCCACCAAGCCGCCTCCATTATGGCGTTTAGCTCTGCTTTAAATACACTGCAATGGTCCGGTAAGCGAAAACTGAGGTTTAGCGCGAGTTCATTAGAGTAAATCCCGCTACCCACTCTTTTGTTAAGCTTGGAACCATCGATATATATGGCCGTAGACCCTGGGTTCAAGTCTGTGGCCCCTTCCTATTCGTTCCTCTTTGGGATTCTTGTGGAGAATTTGTTGTCTAAACAGAGTAGAGGAGTGATATAATTTAAATGTCGTAGATTATCCGGTAGAGTTTTAAGTAAGTACTTTTGCGTGTCCGAATCTGAGGTCTCTCTACGGTCGGATCGTATTTACCCTGGCCGCACTGCAGCCGGTCCGAAATTTCCCCTAGAGATCCACAGGTGTAGGGTTTAATATTATTTCCAGAGATTTGGTGGGTGTAGTGGGCAGTGCTCCCGTGACGAGCGTGGACGCCGTTCTCTGCACCTGTTCCACCTTAGCTCTGGACAAGGTGTTGTTTAGAGCGGGACACCATACGGTGACCCCGTAGAAAAGAATGGGTCTTATCACAGCTGTGTACATCCAGTGTACATATGTGGCTTTATTCCCCATTTTTCGCCTATAGCCGTCTTGGAAAAGACCTCTCCGAGCCGTTCGCCACAAAAGCGGGTTTCAGACAGGGCGACTCCCTTTCATGTGACTTCTTAAATCTGATG